TCTACGGGCCGTACGCCGGACCTGCAGCGGCCGGCTCTTGCGGAGGATTGGGGGGCCTCGGAATGCCCGGCTCCGGCTTCCGCGCCCACGTCTACCTGTGCAACCGGCCCCTATGGCTCAAATTCCACCGCCACCAAACTGAGATGATCATCACCAAACAGGGCAGGTGAGCGCAGCGTGGAAAGGCCTCTGGGTGCCGGGTTGAGGGAGTTTGCACACTTCCTGCACTCCGGCAAAGGGTCCCCAGCATCTCCAAGGTAGCGCACCTTTCCGCAGGCACACCTGTGGCTTGGGCCCGGTGCCAAAGTTACTCTCCGCTCTAGTCACCCTCACCGGGACTGACAGGGAGGAAGCGGAGATGGAAATTTGGGGATGAACCCTACGGGAGCTGCTGGCTGCTGGGCTTGCAGTTTACAGTTTGTAGCTTGCAGGCGAGGACCGGAGGGTGGGGGAGAAGGTTGGAACTGGGTTGCAGCCTGAGCGCAAGTATTTGAAATGCGGTCGTTTCAAGTACTTCTGTGGGCACTTCTGTGAGAAGAGCAGAAGAAAGAAGTTGGGTTTGAGCTGGTGGGTGGGTAGACATTTTCTGAAGCCAATGATTGGGGGCTTGCGGGGAAGGTACAAGAAAGTTCCGGGCCGGGCAGTGGTGGCGCTCGCCTTTAATAATCCCAGCACTCGGGAGGCAGAGGCAGAGGCAGGCTGATCTCTGTGAGTCCCAGCCCAGCCTGGTCTACAAGAGCTAGTTCCAGGACAGCCTCCAAAGCCACAGAGAACCCTGTCTGGAAAAAAACAAAACAAAACAAAAAAACAAAAAGAAAGAAAGAAAGAAAGAAAGAAAGAAAGAAAGAAAGAAAGAAAGAAAGTAAGTTCCGGTACACCTTCGAACTGCCAACAGCTACTTCGGGGGGATCTGAAGGAAGCGAGGAGTGGGTACTGGGAGACAGGAACTAAAAACTCTGTGTGTGTGTGTGTGTGTGTGTGTGTGTGTGTGTGTGTGGGTGTGTGGTGTAAGTTGGCACGCGCCTGCTTAATGTTTTGTGTCTCCTGTGCCTTTAAAAATAATTTTCGCTATTCCAGGAAGAAAACTAGGAGGTTTCTGAAAGACCAGGGAGTTGGAGTGGATGAGGGTCTCAGAAGCACACGAGTTAGGGAAAATAATGATTTGGAGACTGTCCCTTAAAATGTCAACTCAAAACCATTTTCGTGATTTCAGGCCACATCACCTGTTTGTTGCTTTGTTTACTGCAGACTTCTCTTGTGTGTGTGTCGGGGAGGGGGGGCAGGGCGTGCCCTGAACGTCCCTACTGAAACCATTTCCCCCGGTTCTGTTGTTTACACAGGCGCATGTTCCCCTTCTTGAGCTTCAACATAAACGGACTCAATCCCACCGCCCACTACAACGTGTTCGTGGAGGTGGTTCTGGCCGATCCTAACCACTGGCGCTTCCAGGGGGGCAAGTGGGTGACCTGTGGCAAAGCCGACAATAATATGCAGGGTGAGGAGATAAGAGGCCTGAGCCGGGAAGAAATCAGCCCCGGTGCTGGACCAGCCGCATTTAAATCAACCACCTCACCCCCAGCCGATAGCAAGGATTACCTTCTCCTTGACCCTTCTATGTTTGAGGAATGAGTAGTCCAATGAGGTTCTGAGTTTGGGAGAAAGATACTGGCATTTTAACATTCTCTTGAGAAAGCCGGGGCCGTCCTTAACTTAACCCAGGGAAGTATTCAGTGAGGCACATCCCTCTGGCTTTTAAAGGCCTCGGATTAACATTCGGGATCCTGGAGCCCTCTCTGTCTTCAGTTTGGAGGCTGGTGATAGCAGGGCTCGATTAGGAAAGGCTGGAAGCACCCTGGCCCTGGAGGGGGTGCCTGGAGTCCCGCTGTGGTCCAGTGATTTCTGGAAGCCGCTCTCCCAGGAGGAGGCTGCGGCTGCAAACCCAAGTCTAGCTAACAAACAGGCTGTCTGTGTAAATGCTAATGTGTCCTTTCGTTTTCTTCTTAGGCAACAAAATGTACGTTCACCCAGAATCTCCTAACACTGGTTCCCACTGGATGAGGCAGGAGATTTCCTTTGGGAAGTTAAAACTCACCAATAACAAAGGCGCAAACAACAACAACACACAGGTAGAGAGACTGAAGAGCGGGTGGGTATGTTCTGGCTGGAGCCCCTTGGAGAGGCCATACCTTTGTTACTGTGCTTAATTAAATGTTTGCGGTTTTGACTTTGTTCACTTTTACTTAATTAATTAATTTGCCTTTGTTGCTATTATACCTTCTGACTATTAAGCATAGACATAGAATTTGGGGGGATTTGGAGCCAAAAGGAAAGACTGTTTATCAAAATACACATGAACTCAGTTTTTGCTTTGGGTGTTTTTCTGTTTATCTTGGGGAGCAGGCCTTGTACTGCTGATCCTCCTGTCTCTCAGGACTCATGCTGGTATTACAGTGCCGCTCTACCACTCCAGGTTCAGAACTAGGACTTCAAGTTGCAAAGGTGTTAAATGCCAAGAATCTTAAAGATGATAACAAAAAACTCAACTCTATTTCAAAAAGCAAGGAGGGCCTTGCTATTCAATGTTGTGAAAAACACATCCTTTGGGGTTTTTCCACAAAGTTGGGGGGCGAGGGGGGCAATCTGCTCGTGGAGATTTTGGCAGGGAGCAACCACAAGTCCCATTTATTGGAATCTGCTCTTTAGACCTTTGAAAATCTTTCTTGGGTTCCATCTCCAGATGATAGTACTGCAGTCTTTACACAAATACCAGCCACGACTGCACATTGTGGAAGTGACAGAGGATGGTGTGGAGGACTTGAATGAGCCTTCCAAGACCCAGACCTTCACCTTCTCAGAGACACAGTTCATCGCAGTGACCGCCTACCAAAACACGGATGTGAGTGCCCCCTGGCTTGGCAGGAGCCTCTCAGCTAGGTCTAGCATGATAAAGCCTTCAGTTAACGATTCTTCTCCTCTCTCTAGATTACTCAGTTAAAGATCGACCATAACCCCTTTGCCAAAGGCTTCCGGGACAACTATGATTCGTAAGTATTGCTTTCCATCATAACCCACATAGCCATCTCTCTTTAAATGTCCCAGGCTGCCTGCAGTTTGCTGTGGAGTCGAGAGGAACTTGAACTTACGATCTTCTTGCCTCCATGTCCCTAGTGCTGAGCGCTCAGGCATGGGCTACCACACCCAGGCTTCGAGTGGGCCAGGCAACCATGATATCAATTGAGCTTCATCTTCAAGCCCATTTCCTGCATCACCTTTGAACAGGAAATGAGTCATCATTTTCATGAGGACATATTGAGTATGGCATTTTATATTTGGGATTTTTTAAACTCATTTTTGTGTTCACTTTTGCTGATACATGTGCACGTGCGCGCGCACACACACACAATGTGCTCTGGGTGTTTAAACTCAGGGCTTTGTACATGCAAAAGGCGAGCACTCTATGGTTGAGCTATATTCACCTAGACCTATTTTTGTATGTATGGCCTTGGGCAATCTTGCTTTAGATTTTTTTAAAAACAGATTTTGTTATTCTAAAGTATCCACAGCTTAAACATGAAGTTCCTTTTCCTTTTCTACACTTAAGTAGAGAATTTGCATTATTTGTGTACAGTTTTTTTTTCTATTTGCTCTGTAATGCTTTATTTTTATTTTTAATTGTGTGTGTTTGTGTATGGGTATGGGTATGTGCTCATGAAATGGGTGCCAGCAAGGCAGGTGTCAAGCAGAGAGGAGTTCCAGGTGGCTGTCAGCCACTTGATGTGTGTGCGTCCAACCCAACTTGGCCTTTGGGAAAAGCACTTATTGCCCTCCAGCTCCCCAGCCAGCTTTTAAAACCCTCACTAGTAGACCCCTGTGTCATGAAGAAAAACCTGAAAAGATGTGTTTTTCACAACATTGGATAACAAGGCCATGCTTCGTGAAATAGAGTTGGGTGGTTGAGTTGCCTCTGTGCCATTCTATCCATCACTTTGACGAGGGAGGGCTGCTCTTAATCCTTTGTGTTTGAATACTTGTAAAAGTAGTAGATTTTTCTAGCCGAGCGAGCGTTGGTGGCGAACGCCTTTAATCCCAGCACTCGGGAGGCAGAGGCAGGTGGATCTCTGTGAGTTTGAGGCCAGCCTGGTCTACCAAGTGAGTTCCAGGACAGGCTCCAAAACAATACAGAGAAATCCTGTCTCAAACAAAACAAAACAAAACAAAACAAAAAAGTAGATTTTTCTAGATTTGATTATTTTGAGATACAGGCAGATATAACACAGGCTGGCCTCAAACTCGACTGGCTGTGTGTGTATCTCCAACAGCCTTTTGCTCCTGCCTCCACCTCTCCACCTCCCTGTGCTGGGAGCCACCAGCCCTGGTTAATGCAGATCTGTCCACAGAACCCGGGCCTTCGTGCTGACAAGGCTAGCCCTCTACCAAATGATCTATAGCCACAGACCCTGATTTCCCATAGCAAACACCTGACTCCTGAGAGGAAATTTCCTTTTAAGCAGTGGGAATCTACTCTATCCTCTTGTGCAACATACCGGCCTGCTCAGCTGGGTCCACAGAACAAGGCTCTGGTTTCTGGGAGGCAGGTGTTGTCTGGGGATAACATGAGGCTGTTTTGTTTTTTTTTAAGTGTCTCTCTTTACATTGTAGCATGTACACGGCTTCAGAAAATGACAGGTTAACTCCATCTCCCACGGATTCTCCTAGATCCCATCAGATTGTCCCTGGAGGCCGGTACGGCGTTCAAAACTTCTTCCCGGAGCCCTTTGTCAACACTTTACCTCAAGCCCGATATTATAATGGTGAGAGAACCGTGCCACAGACCAACGGCCTCCTTTCACCCCAACAGAGCGAAGAGGTGACCAACCCTCCCCAGCGGTGGCTTGTCACGCCTGTCCAGCAACCTGTGACCAACAAGCTAGACATCGGTTCCTATGAATCTGAATACACTTCCAGTACCTTGCTCCCATATGGTATAAAGTCTTTGCCCCTCCAGACATCCCATGCCCTGGGATATTACCCTGATCCAACATTCCCTGCAATGGCAGGGTGGGGAGGCCGAGGCGCTTATCAGAGGAAGATGGCAGCTGGCCTACCATGGACATCCAGAATGAGCCCCCCTGTGTTCCCAGAAGATCAGCTTGCCAAGGAAAAAGTCAAAGAAGAAATTGGCTCCTCCTGGATGGAAACTCCCCCTTCCATCAAATCTCTGGACTCCAATGATTCGGGGGTGTACAACAGTGCTTGCAAAAGAAAGCGCATGTCTCCGAGCACCTCCAGCAATGGAAATTCGCCTCCCATAAAGTGTGAGGACATTAACCCTGAAGAGTACAGTAAAGACGCCTCCAAAGGCATGGGGGCATACTATGCTTTCTACACAACTCCCTAAGGAGTTATTTGAGCCCCTAATGGTTTCCAGGTGGACCTGGTGGTGTTTCGTTGTTGTTTTCTTTGCCTAGGTTACCAAAAAGACTTTTACCTTCCACCTTTGATGTATCCCGTTTTGTGCAATTCTCTGAGAGAGGGTGCCAAAGCTTTGCCATTTCTGCAGGTAACTAACTGAAGCAAACCTAGCAGGCTTCCCCCCACCCCTTTGTAAAATAAAGTTAACAGAGGACTCGAAAGTGCTTTAAGATTCAAAGGTTGTTCAAGGTGCTGGATCTATTTATAGGAAACAAGAAACATTCAGAAAAGGCAGGCTATGAAGATTGAGTGCCAGGTGCTATCAAATGAGTTTAAAAAGCAAAAAGTAAGCAAAAAACTTTGGCTCTCATTTTTACTTGTAAATCTTTAAGCAAACAACAGGCCAGAGTGTTAAGGTATTTTTACTTCAGGAAAAGAAGGGATGGGCCTTGAGTTTCAACAGCGGGCTCTTCATTGCTATTTTTTGCCTGTGGCTAACGAGGCTGGGCCTGAGAGTCAAGGGGAGAAGACTAATGGAAAGTGGCTAGCTAGTTTTAGCAGCCTGTAATTCTTGGCAGGATTTTGGAATAAACCATTTGTCATAGGGACGGGCCTGTGTTGTTGGGATGACCTGTAGAAACCAGAAGGGTCAGAGACAAAGGGAGAAGTTAAGTGTACAGTTGTGTGTTTAGACACCATAGAATAATCTGGAATATATTGTACAAATTCAGCTGCCTAGGTATCAGAGATAAAACAATGTAAAATTGGTGCTTTGGCTTTGTAAAGAATTTGCAGAAACACAACTGCAGGGTTGAGAGGAGCCTCAGTATCGTGGGGAGATTAGTTAAGTGCTCAGCTGCCTGTGTGCTCACTCAACCACGCATAGGGAGAAACAACCCTGTTTAACCCTCCTTCCTTGGTCGTCCCCACTTCCCCCTTCAGTAAATGTGAAGAAATTACAGTCTGACGCCACAGCTCCTATAGGCTTTTTAGAGATAATGAATTTTTATGTACAGTCGTAAGTCATTTTTAATAAATGTTATTCAGTAAGGGAACGGGTACAGTTCTGTCTTCTGTGCTACGGATTTTATTGCTCTAATTTTGTTTCCTTCCGCACATTTTCAGGGTGAACAGTTTCTCTGTCTGTCTGTCTCTCTGTGTCTGTCTGTCTGTCTGTCTGTCTCTCTCTCTCTCTCTCTCTCTCTCTCTCTCTCACACACACACACACACACCTTGCCCCTCCATAGATTGCTCTAGAATCTTAACTAGATACTGTGGTCTTGAGGGGTGGGCAGAGGGTGCTTCTGTTTATCTGCCCCCACCGCAAAGATGAATGGGATCTACTTCCTCGCCCCACTAGGAAGTGTAGACAATGGGTGTTGGCTGAGGGGGTGGGGTGGAGAGAGAGTATTTGCCCTGGGGATGTAAGAACGCACTCTGCAGGTTTAATCCTAGCTCTCCACCCTCCGCCCTGACCCTTAGTCATTTAGTTCTTTTACTGGGTTTACTTTAGGCGACCTAGACCCACGTAAGCTCCCTGGGAACCCCCGCGGCCATTCGAGCGCCTACGAGTTCCGGGTCCTTTAAGCACCACAGGGCTGGATGTTCGCGCACCCCAAGACTTGCGCCTATCTGCGGTTTTCCGCGGTTGGTGCAGCTGCTGTTCTCCGTTGCCTTACCCTCAGCTAAATTTCATCCGGGACTCAGGGCTTGCGCGCAGACTAGCACTGGGCAGGGCAGTCACAAAGGACTTTTCCACTTTTCCTTGGCAACTGCAGTCCTGCAAACAGCATCTGGACAGCGATGCATCTCGCTCTTAGCTTAGCTTTAGTTAGTAACCTCGGGCGAGGAAGGCCCCACTGGCCCTCGCTGAACCATAGGTGTGCGGAAAACCAGGCAGTTAGGGAAGAGGGTCCTCCCCGCCCCCCAGCCAGACGTCCCGCCGCGCTATCTACAGACGGCTTAAAGCCCAGCTTGCTAGGCCTTGGAGCCCCCTTCCCACCCTGGGGTAAAGGTCTGGCTGGGAGGGTCATTCTAACTGCAGAGCGCGGAAATGCAGCTGCTAAGAGGATTAGCTGTGGGGAGGCAAGCAATCAGCCGGGCCCTCCTCCCCTTCTGCGCCCAATTAAGGCGGCCAGAAGATGTACCTAAACTGTGTGGAGTCTCTCATGTCCTCCAAACTTCTGGGGCCAGAGCCCTCTCTGCATCGCCATGAACTTGGGAACCTACTAGCTCCGCATTTCCAAGAATGCCTGCTCAAAACTCTTTGGCAAAGCTGCCCCGACTGTCACCCGAGTGCCAGGTGTGTGTGTACTTTCTGGGGATTTGTTTTTTTAATATGTATCTGTGTGGGTAGCAGATTTGAGAGAGAGACACATAGTTGGCCCAACCTAGTCAGAACCAACATCCATCCACATCCAACGGCTGGGTACCCGGAGTATCAAATGATGTCTTGCCATTCTGTCCTTTAGAAAAACCCGAGAATGCTAATCACACGCCGGGATAAAGAGGACTCGGGTCCTATTCTATTTCTAGTCTTTATATTTTTGCACCATACAGTAAAAAGAATCTAGTACTTGTGAAAAGTCCCTCACAGTGTTTAATAGAAACGTAAATGGCTGAGTGGCCCCAATTAACACCTTGTGATAAGGCATTCCTAAGATGGAGTGTCAGACACCAAATTGTGAAGAGATGTATCTAATTAATCCTCCTAGGATGACACTGATAAACAAGACTCCATTTAAATAAAGATCAAGGGCTGGGTGCCCGGCCGGCTTGTTTACAATCCCCCTGCGCACCTTTGCGCGGGCGCAGGCCGCTTCCCGCGCAAGGCGGAGACTCAGGCTTAAGGGGTCTGCTGGCTCGCCCAAGTTCGCTTGTCCTCAGCTCGTGCCACAAACAAAACCACTCAGTTAAACAAACTACAACGAAAGAGGAAAAATCGGCACAAACCCCAAAACGATTCGTGGTTGGAAATATGTCTTCATCGCAAAACAGTCTGGTTTTTCGAGATGAAAAGGTACAAAAAGCAAAAGCAAGCCAACAATCCCTGTGTTAATTAACTTTTTTTTTTTTTTCCTGTGGGTAAATTTCGGAGCAGGACCTCCCTCCCTCGTCCCGGTGCGGGTTCCTTCTCAGTGGGTGAAGGTTTTTCTCTACTGTGGTGCAAAAACCGAGAATTGCTGGAGTGGGGGCTAGCTGCCCTGGCGTGGTAGGGAGCTTCCGATGCCTGGAAAGAAAACTGGGAAAGGCGGCAAGAATCCGAAAAGAATTTAGGGGCCGAGGGCAAAGCTGCTCGCTAGCTGGCCTTCATCTTGACCGGTGTTGGGGCTGCGGCTGGAGCCGCCTCACTGCAATAATTTATGCCCCAAAAGGGATGCCGAGGTTCCGAATTTCCTGTTAGTCCCACCCAGGTTCCCACCTTTCTAATTAAACTTAAAGCCTGAATAAAGAAGGCAGGCTCTCCGGCTTTCTCAAATTGGGGCTGGGGTGGGGGGATGGAGAGAAGAGATCAGAGAGGGCAGAGATGTGGGGCTGAGTCCCTGCAGGTGTCTTGGAAAGGCTGGCGAATGGAAACAACCCGGGTACTCGACCCACACTCTGCAGCCGGAAGGGACAATAATAAAGTCCTGGCTTTTTACGCTTTTGGACATTGCTCCCTTCTGCCTCCTGGGACGCGCCACCGACTGTCCTCCGCTCCGCTGCGCCCGGATTTCAAAAATTCCGCTTTCACCCGGTAGAGATTTCTGAACAACTAGGAGATTTTTTTTAAAACGCAGTTTAAGGAGGAAGAGGAGGAGGAGAGAAGCAGCAAAAAACCAACCTGTGTTGTTGCATCCTCAGGACCCCCTCCAAAAACCCCCTGGCCAC